AACGTGAATTTCTTAAACGCCGTTTAGTAAAACAATTATTTGCCAGGCTGCCTATGTGGGTGAGCGGAACTCCAAATGTGTATGGGGGACGGACATCTTTTTTTATGTCTGTGGTGCATGCATCAAACAAAGTCTTCACCCCTGTGAACACAAAAAGTGAAAATCGGGAAATCAAAGGCCTAAGGCCGGCCCTGGCCAGGAGGACCCCGATCCTTTGGATCTACTGAAGCAGTTCTAGGTGGGGGCTCTTCCGAAAAAGAGACCCTCAAATACGGGGAGGTAAAGAAAACCTGTAGAGACCACAGAACCACCCCCCAATATCAGGTTGTGGCTATTGGTCATGAAGTGAAGGGAAATCTCCCCAATGGGGCACAGGTGGGGAAAAAAAAGCTGACGGGTGTTTTACAACCCTCCCTTTCTATATTCAAAACTAAAAACTTTATCTTTTAAGCCTTGCTGAAAGGATCTGACCCCCGAAACGCGTCGGATTTTTGATACAGACTTCTATTGGAATAACTATCTGGACTATTGATCTATTGTGTGGCACTTCAAACTCAGATCCTTTTTACATGGGACAGCAGGTAGTGGATCTGTGAGATGGTGTGCTAATTTATGTCCAGACTACTGCCACAGGTTGGCACACTCCTCCAAAATTCCTCATAATAGGAATACATAATGAGGGGAATTTATCAAAACTGGAGCAGACCAAATCTGGAGCTGTTGTCTATGGCACTCACCTCATAGTTCTAGCCGACCTGTGACAATGAGACTGTCACAGGTCGGCTTAGTAGATCGGGAGGTGAATGAACACATACCGGCGTTCGCTCACCTCTCGATCCTATCACAGCTCTCTGCCGTGACAGGGGAGGGGCTGGATTCCCCCCTCCCCGCTCCAATCTTCCAGCGCTGACTGGCGGAACGGACGGGGGAGGGGGCGGGTACAGCTAGCTCTGCCTCTAGATAGGCAGAGCCAGCTGTCACTCACGCAGCTGGGCGGATCCAGACATAATTGTCGGGATCCGCTTCAGCTGCGGCGTCTCAGTATACAGCGCGGTATACTGAGCTTAGGGTGACGGGGGGACGCTAGTTTGTGTCCTCCCATTACCCTACGGAGGACTATGGGGAAAAGCCTTAACCCCATAGTTCTCCTTTTTTAAAATTGAATTTTTCAATTCCTCCATCAGAACCGGTTCTCTTTTGAGTCGCCTCATTTGTGTTCCGTGCCGTTGTTGAATAGCAGCTATGCTGATGGCTCGAAGTGCGCTCCACGTGAGTCAGGGGAGGGTTACCATGGCGATCGGGGTATAGTCGCCGTCTTTTATATTTCCTGTAAAATCCAGCAGTTTTCTTACTAAGGCCCACCTCGGCACCGCCCGGCCCGTATTTGCTTGTCGATGGCGACCAAGCCAAATTATTCCAGGGCCTTTGTGGCAGCTTGCAGAGGTTGTGCAGACAATGTATTTAGGCCAGCCGGGTGTCTGGTTCTCGGTGACCTAACATTCGCCCGGTCACATGTTGCCGTGGTTGTCCTACATCGAGGGACTCGTGTGCTTTTATACTCGGGCGACCCCGGCTCAGCGTGATAGTCATGTGACCATGCGGGGAGGGGAATAGCTGTGCAATCTTCCAACATAATTCCTTTTAGATGAAATGAAAGCCGCCGCTTGTTTGGTGCAAGTGATCTCAGCGATGTCGCCGAGATCACTTGTTTGTGGCCTGTATACAGGGGGGCGCATTGAAGAACCTGGCCTTGGGGCAGCAGAGAGAGTAAAACTGGCCCTGTGTATGCACCATTCTTTCGGCAGTGCACTGTACATGTTGTACTTCCAACGAATGTCCGTGCGTCGGGGTGCACGTCACATGAGTTGCCACACGTTGCATTAAAGTGCACATTGCTGCAACAACCTAGTGTTAACGGGCCCTAAAGACAACATAGCATTAGATATATATATTTATGTTCAATGTGTACAAATGTAACACTCCCAGGTATTAATCACGTCTCGCATAGGTCACAGTGCTCCCCCTGACAATGCCTTTATCTGCATTTCTATCCAGAAGGACGGAACCATCTTTATTCAGATGTTAACCAGGGTCACCGTGTACTTCCTGGACTGATATGCCGGTGTTCTATCGAAAGCTCCAACTCATCGAGATCCCCAACTACCTCACTTCCGGTGCTCAGAAAGACTGGAGCTCTGTACACTTGTACAGACATCTCAACTCTCCCGGATGTTCCGGGAGTCTCCCGCTTTGAGATGGCGGCTCCCGGATGGCCGGGAGAGAAACACTTTCTCCCGGAAAGGTTTACTCTGCTCGATCTAGCAGAGTAAACCTGTCTGGGTTTTTTTTTCTTTTTTCTGACATCGGGGCTGCAGTCAGTCAGTCAGAAGAAAAAAAAAAAACGGCATAGGAACGAATAGCTAGATTGCTATTGGCTATTTCAATTTGCAATAGCAGACTAGCTATTGCACCCGCCCACTGCAGCTGTCAATCGGTAGCGGTGGACCTCAAGTTCTCCATCAGGTCCACCTGTGCTGACAGCAGCAGAGGGCGGGTGCACTAGCCAGCTTGCTATTGGCTATTGCAAATTGAAATAGCCAATAGCAATCTAGCTATTCGTTCCTATGCCGTTTTTTTACTTGCGTTGTGCATGCGCGCATAGCGTTTTCAGAATACTCGCCGATATTTTGCCACCTGCTGAATATTGTTAAAATGCAGCTGTACAGAGCCCAGTCAGTCTAACACCGTCTGGTCGAAATCTCCAACTTGCAAGTACCTAGTAATGAGGTAGTTGGAGATTTTGACGAGTTGGAGCTTTCGATAGAACACTGGCTCAGAATTGACACAATTATGTAACACCAAATGTATGACACAGATTATCCCCTGCTGCAGCCTCTCACCTGGTGCCTTGTAAGGCCTTGTCTCCATTGGCGGCAAACAGAGCAGTTCTTGGGAATTTTTCCACACCCCCTGAAATGCTCAAACACAGCCTTCCATAACTGCAATAATGCCAGTGATAGACCCGGTACGCACGGAAGTTCACACGCTTTGCTGCACATAAAAATAAAAGGGAAGTGCAGCCTTACAGCTTCCCACACAAAGGGTGGTCATACATGCTAAGAAACTGCACAATGATGCTTAAACAATGCAAGGTGTGCTTTCAAAGGGTTTGCAAGGGTTCCGTTTGTAATGGAAGTGGTGACGACACGTATAATGGTCCAGTCTGATCACTGGAGGAGAGGAGACTAAAGAAACTCTTCCTCTTACAGGTAGCAGACTGATCACTAGAGGTGGGGAGACTGAGGAATGACTTCCTCCTGCCTGCAGCAGACTGATCACTACGGGAGGGAAGATTGAGGAAATGCTTCCTCCTGCCTGCAGCAGACTGATCACTGTGGGTGGGCAGACTGAGGAAATACTTCCTCCTGCCTGCAGCCGACTGATCACTATGGGAGGGAAGATTGAGGAAATCCTCCTGCCTGCAGCAGGCTGATCACTGTGGGCGGGGAGACTGAGGAAATACTGCCTCCTGCCTGCCTCCTACCTGCAGCCGACTGATCACTACAGGATGGAAGATTGAGGAAATGCTTCCTCCTGCCTGCAGCAGACGGATCACTGGGGGTGAGGAGACTGAGGAAATGCTTCCTCCTGCCTGCAGCAGACTGATCACTGGGGGTGAGGAGACTGAGGAAATGCTTCCTCCTGCCCGCAGCCGACTGATCACTATGGGAGAGAAGATTGAGGAAATGCTTCCTCCTGCCTGCAGCAGACTGATCACTGGGGGTGAGGAGACTGAGGCTGCAGCCGACTGATCACTATGGGAGAGAAGATTGAGGAAATGCTTCCTCCTGCCTGCAGCAGACTGATCACTGTGGGTGGGGAGACTGAGGAAATGCTTCCTCCTGCCTGCAGCAGACTGATCACTGTGGGTGGGGAGACTGAGGAAATGCTTCCTCCTGCCTGCAGCAGACTGATGACTTCTCAGCCTAGGCAAAGTCCCTGACTGGAGCACAAGGTCAGCTTTTTAATGATAAAAGGTGGCGCTCTTTTAAAGAATAATCCTGTTGCTGTATATTGTGATGTGTGTGGAGACTTGTCATATGTGATTTTGCTATGTGACTGTAATGCCAATTTCTTCTCTGATGGGTGTGTGGGGTGATCTGTTTCGGGCCTCATTCACACTGCGCTAAGTCGCGGTGCATCTCCGTGCGGCGTGCATGCCCTTATCGAGCTGTACGCACACACCCGAACTGTCTGTATTGGACGCAGACAGGATGGCTCCTGCCTGCGTCCGAGCAAGGACACCTGGATGTGCAGTTCGGGTGTGTGCGTACAGTCGCGTGCTCCCATAGGGAAGAACAGGCTGCTGTGTGCAATCACATGCAGCACCTGTCCCTCCGGGGAACGGCCCGGTACGGGCGTGCACGCTGCAGGGAAGTGTACGGCCCAAGTTTACGCAGAGTGAATGAGACCTTAGGGCAGGTTCACACCATTTTCCGACCAGATCTGGAACGTAGTGCATTGCGTTTTTAACACGTTTTTATCACGATTTTGCAGCGTTTGGAATTTTTTTTGCTTAAAATGGTACAGGTGCGTTCCAGTGCGTTTGGATACGTTTGTGATGCATTTTTATACTTTCCAGTGCATTCCAGACCAGACAAAATAGGACAAGCGGTATTTTTCTGGTCTGGAAGGGACTGCGCTGGTGTGAACAGAGGCCAGAAATAGCATAAGGATACATTAGGATGCATTTTGGGTCCGGAAACGGTCTGGTCTGGTCTGGACATGATCTGGATGTAGTGTGAATAGTCAGGATGATAAAAGACGAGATCTTTTTTTTTTTTGCTTTATCTCAGTAAAAAGACAACTGTGACGTTTCTGGCCGTCATTGGGGCGGAATGATCCTGAGTCGGCACTGATATATCCATATACTGTAGTGATGAATTGTCTGAATGGTCTTTCCCATCATGCCTCTCTCTGACCATGGCTTTTTCTTGCAGGATATGAGGAAACATGTCTTCCTGACTCTGCATGATACTGAACATTCATACGTGGAATCGCTGCGCACACTGATGGAGGTACGGAACAGACATCATTTACATGTAGCCATTGTATCACAGACCCGGAATGTCTCGATGTTTGCAGGTTTTTGTCCTTTTTGTGGAGATTTGGTGTCATTCTTATAGATCATAGAAGGGTCATTGTTTTGGTAGTGCTGGGTACTGCATTAAAGTACAACTCCAGATTTTTTTTGCAATTTGTCAGTCCCCCCCGCCGCCCAGCCCCCGCCATGAAAAAAAATAAAAAAGAGTCAATATTCACTTGCTTACATCATGCTGCTCCAGCACCATTGCCGGCTTCCTCCTCGGCCCAGCACCATAGGTCCTCTTTGGGGCAGGTGAGCTCAGATTGTTGTTTTCTAGCCCTGCCCCACCCCAGGGAGTGTGTCATCAGGCAGACAGTGACATCATCAGACCGGCAGGAAGACTGCAACAGCTGCCTGTGAAAAGCGATCCGCCGTGGATCACATTTCTCAGGGCATTACAGCAACGGCTGCCCAACCTTCAGGAGGCCATATTGATGGCTACTGAATTTCTTTTTTTTACATTTTTAACCAAATCCCAAGGAAGATTTTTCACTACTGTTATGGTGTGCCAAGACATGAGGACACCGAGAGACATTCCACCGCCGGAGTGGAGGGGGAGAGAGGCAAGCAGTCAGCACCACAAGGCTGAAGATTAGGCAATTGTATCTTCTTTATTTTAGCCACCTATTCCTAAATGAGCACTTAACCCTTGTAGTCCCGGGGGTAGACCTGCTGCTACAAGGGCTAATTTTTACATTTCCTGGAGTAAACAGAATCTGGAGCCGTTGCCCATGGCAACCAATCAGCTTTTCTTTTCATTTTGTTTAGTTTAAACTGGAAATGAAAGAGAGAAGCCGGCTTCCTGGGCAAGATGGCTCGATGCTTCCCGGCCAATCAGCATCGAGCCGGCTGTTTGGCCAATCAGGAAGCCGGGAGACAGGTCGTTACCCACTGTCCGGCTTCCTGATTGGCCGGGAAGCCGGCTCAATGCTGTTTGGCCAGATTGGTTGGGAAGCCGGAATGAATCAGCATGGAGGCGGCTTCCTGGCAACGAGTCATTACCCCGATTGGCTGGGAAGCCAGCTTCATGTTCCCTTGCGGCACTACCGGTCAGAGGAAATCTACCTCTGTCCAGAAGTTCCGGTATCGAGGAAGGTATCGGAGCATTTGAGCGAGTAGGAGTAACCGCCCAATTGCTCAGTATCAATACCGATACTAGCACTCGCAAGTGCACCCAAATGAGTGATACTCTACATGAAACGCAATAGAAGAAAAGAATGCTGTGCTACAATAAAAACAAGGTGGCTATAGATACCATACAATGGTAATACAATGTGTCAAAAAATGAAACCAGTAAAATCAAACACTGATACAAAATAAATATTTGTAACAAGTGTAAAGCGCAAAGAGACATGAAGATCCGGTGTCTGGAATGATTCCAGTGCTCAAGCTAAGGAATACTACATCCCGGGAGATATCACACGTCCACCTCAGATTCTGTCTGCTCCAGTTTTCATACATTTCTCTTAATGAACTCAATCTAAGTATATTGCACAATGAATACCATAGGTGGACGACCACAGGGGAGGACGGAGAGGAAAGTAGCCACCCACTCCCCTCTATGGCACCCAATCATTCCTCGCTGACCGATCAGAGGGATTCGCAAGATGGAGAATCCCTCTGATGCGACAGGTGGCGTCTGCCGGAAGTCAAAACACAAACAATGTCACAGCCGGATGACTGTGTGAACTCCGCGACCCAAATGCTGAGTCTATACACCAAACCAAAAAACAAAAAGGTGTGTGTAGGGATATGGGGGGCCTGGTAGAATGTATATGACCCCAAAACCCATCTCCGATGACCCCTGACTTCCATTAGCATTCCCCAGCTGATTTCTCCTGCTGTGTGGAGTTGCCCTTTAACTCCAGGTTTCCTGAGTGCGTATTCCTGGATCGGTGGCTGAGAGTGGAAAATTACCAGTACGTTTCCTGCTGGGAGCTGAACTTCCACACGAGAAAATGGAGGAAGTGACAGCTATGTCTCCAGAGAGATCACCAGGATCTCTGCGTGACTCCCAGTCTGTGCTGTTTATTGGGCGCTCCCTCTGCCAGTGCTGCCATCCCCTTAAAGTGTACCAGTCTTGTATGAGTTGGTGTAAGAATCGGAAGATGTACTCTTAATTTATTACAGTTCCGCAGGTTTCCTTTTAAAACATGTATAATTGCCCCTTGTATTAAAGTTCATTCTAACCATTGGCAGGCAACCTAGGCACTCCAGCTCTGCTGAAACTACGAATCCCATCATGTTTTATTGTTTTTGCTTGTGTGTGAAGTGAGGAAATCCCTCCATGGTGCGGGAAATTCCTTTTTTAGGTACTTGTCACCAGAACCAGGTTCCCACTGGATATTTCTCCAACCCCCCCCCCCTTTTCTTCCTGTTCTGACATGGGCAGACATGGATGAACGGGCAGAGATGGGCAGACAGACATGGACAGACTGAGAGGTACGCCTTATGCTACACCTTGTTTCTGCTGCAGTTTCTCTTCAGTGGGATCAAATGAGTTAATGATTCCTTTACGTTTCCCTGATTTGCTGTAAGAGGAGGGGCGGGGCTCAGCGATGTAAACATTGCCATGTGCTCGCTGTAATAACCAATCACAACGATCGGGAGGGTAGTGGAGTCTGTTGGGTCCCTCCCACAGCTCTGCACGGGTCATGTGCAGCACAGTGATGATGTCACTGCTACTTTCACAAAGTTATAACTGGTCTTGTAAAGGAATATTGAGGAATTTGATTAAAAGTTATTGTGCCTCATACCTGTGTGAGCTTGATGGACATCCCATTGCAAAACCATGGACAAGAATATGGAGTGTGTCCCCCTTTCCCTATACAGAACCGAAAATCACAAGGTCGGGGGGACAAAAATGTCCTAAATGTCTTTTAGGCTCAATTCACAAATGTTTAACACAAGGTGAAGTATTTTTATTTTAGCCATGTGACTGTTATTTCCAAATCTCATTGGACTTAAAGGAGAACTATCGGGTTAGGGCTCTTCCCCATAGTTCTCCTTAGGGTAACGGGAGGACACAAACTAGCGTCTTCCCGTTACCCTAAGCTCAGTATACCGCGAGCTGTATACTGAGACGCTGAATCGGATCCCGACAATCATGTCTGGATCCGCCCAGCTGCGTGAGTGACAGCTGGCTCTGCCTATCTAGAGGCAATACCAGCTGTACCCGCCCTCTCCCCCGTCCGTTCCGCCAGTCAGCGCTGGAGGATCGGAGCGGGGAGGGGGGAATCCAGTCCCTCCCTTGTCACAGCAGAGAGCCGTGACAGGATCCAGAAGTGAGCGAGCGCCGGTATGTGTTCGCTCACTTCCCGATCTACTGAGCCGACCTGTGACAGTCTCATTGTCACAGGTTGGCTAGAACTATGAGGTGAGTGAAAAGCACTCGCCTCATAGTTCTCCTTTTAACTCACTTTTTTGAGAATAGGCTTCTCGTGGTGTGTTGGCTCTGTGAATTGGGCCTATAGTGGGCTGCAACACTACCAGTACCCTTCAGTGGAAACAAATGAACTCCGTGATTTGGAGGTTTGTCTATATTGCTAAATAGTGTCATTATTCCAGTTCTGGGCAGCTTGGTCTGTATGTGAGTGAAAATATGAATATACATCTAAAATAAATAACAATAATACATTTTCTCCTTTTTTGCAATAAATCCTTTAACCGCCTCCCGGCCGGCCGTTGTGAATAAGCGGGCGGCCGGGAACTTCCTGGATCTGAGCGGGCGTTTTTAAACGTCCCATCAGCCACGCCCACTCTGGAAACTGACAACATCTAAAAACGGGAAGCGATGCCTGTTTACATACAAACGATCCACCAGCTATAGAGTCAGCAGATCGCTTGTATAACATGCTGGTATGTGCGCCCTCCCCGCTGGTCCCGAGCTCCGCTGTGCCCGGTGCGATTCCGGGACGAGCATTGTGGCTCTGTGACTGGGGATCAGAGGGAGGTCGGTACACGATCTCCCTCCGGTCCCCTCTCCACTGTCAGAATGCGGAAGTGATGTATATTACATCACTTCCGCATTCTGCTGTCGCAGATCTCTGCTTCATCAGCTTCTTTGGGGGTCTCTAGGTGACATTAGGGGTCTTGGAGACCCCTGATGTCTCTATAAAGAGGACCTGTCACATCCTCTTTGCTATCACATGGGGGGGGGGTTTTTTACATTTAT